AAATAATTAATTAACCTAAGCCACCAATTCCATGTTTAATATGAGCTAGATGTTTACTTTGCACAAGTCACTGTGTTAGTTATTACAGGAGACAAAGTTGAAAATGACTCTGTAAGTCAAATAATTTTAAACATTTGATGAAACATGCATACTGAAATAAATTGAAGTCAAACTTTAACAAATGCTGAAGGAAAAAAGCATGAACAGATGCATAAGATGAAAACATCATTTATTTGGTTTGGTGTGCTGGCGAACACCTATAACCCTGGCACTTACAAAGGAGGAGGCAGGAAAATTATGAGTCTAGGGCCAGTTCGGGATATCTAGTGAGTTCAAGACCTGCCTGTAATACGCTGTGAGGCATTGTCTTGAAGGACCAAAAATTAAAAACCAAAAAAGTTAATAAAACTCTTATTTCCTGGCAATCCCCACAAAGCAAAGGCTAAACTAAACAGAACTATTCAAACCCGTACTTATACCATCTTCAATTAACAATGCAGAGAAGTAACAACAACACTGTTGGACAGTGGAACAAGCGAAGTGCTACATTCTAACTCCATTCCAGATTGACGGATTCAAGTACAGCTCCAACACCAGTCACCACCACTGTCAAATGCACACCACCAACCACACTGATGAGACCCATCATCTTGCTGATGTTTACCAGACACACTGCCAATAAATCTACCATTCCTTATTAATGGGCTGATTGAAAACGTCCGTACAATCCCCGGCATACAGAAGGTACCTGGCAAATGTCATTGAATCATAAGACTCATGTAAATGAGATAGGGGAGACTGAGACTTACCTGGTTTCCCACTCCCGTCCAACAAGATTGATGACCACATTGCTGTATTCCACAGCTCTCCGAATAGAAGCTCTGTCTCTAGCATCCCATTCCTAGGACAGTAGGAGCCAATCAGATGAAAATAAAAGATCCTCAGCACTTAACACGTCTATAAGATCCTCCAGGCATCTTTCTTGGCCATCTATGCTAGTCTAAACACACAGTGCCATTTCACGGACTCCACTGGTTACAAATGAAATGATGTTGAGGTCTCAAACTCCCTGCTGATTCTTCTACTCTTCTGGTGGCACAACAAAGTCAAAGTACATGTCACTCATGAAATCAAACCATAGAAAAGAGGTGGTTCATATTTAATGGGCCAAATTTAATGGAGTATACAGGATCTTATTCAGCCCAAGCTGGCCTTAAACTCCATATATGACCACAGATGTAAGCACAGTAGTAATTTTTGTCCACCCAACTGCCTCCCAAGTGTGTAAAAGAATTCAGTACTCAAGTCTTCCTGAAACACAGCCAAAGAACTAAGCATCATTTGGGAGGAAAACAAACAAACCTTTTGGGCAGTAGTTACCCACAGACTGCAGAAATGAAGATCTTTTAAGGGGAGCATTAAATTGTGGCCATTCAGGACTATTTCCTCATTTCTTTTGAATCCTTTCCTCATTGTTTTTGTTGCTGTCCTAGTAATCAAACTCAGGGTCCTGTGCATTTGAGGCAAGCACTGTACCAACTAAGCTACATCCCTAGCCCCTAATCCTGTTTATAATCTCTTATCTACCTCAAAGACAAGGAAAACAAGAATCAAAGGAAAGAACTGTCTAAAACCTCAAGGTTTTTATTACTGTCCTTATTTATTTATTTTGGGACAGGGCCTTATGTAACCCAAGCCAACCTTGAAATCCTCCTCTACCTCTAGAGTGCTGGGAAATCCTCCTCCAACTCTAGAGTGTTGGGACTATCAGTGTTTGTCACAAGGCCCAGATCTTTTTTATCATTGTTGTTCAGATAGGGCCTCACTCTTCCTGGATGGCCTGGTACTCATTATGTAGGCCAGCCTGGCCTCAAACTCACAATAATCCTCCCATCTCAGACTCCTGAGTAAGTGAGCTGTGGGCATAAGTCATCACGGCAAGCTCAATTTTCTTCTTAATATAGACATTCTGTCCTTTTTACCTCAGGTTACTTAATCAGGAGTCACTATAGACAAGTTCATCAGTCTGGCTGAAATCATACATGATTTACAAGCAGCTAGCTCTCTAAGCTCGGGACAACCAAAAAGCTCCCACATTTTTAACCACTCCTTTAAAAACTTTCTCCATCCCCCCCTCCCCCAACCTTACTCCATCAGCAAGTCCTGGCCTAAGAAAGAGTCTAGAAATTGAAGAAGGACAAGAGGGAGTACTTAGAAAAGATCATTCAAAACTAACCCCACACCAATGAACGAAGCACTCAAACTGCCCACTTGTGGTTTTGTCTACAGAAGCACTATAGAAATTCAGGAGGAGGCACACACAGAATTCTGAATTTTACTTTCTGAATCCTCTACTAGCCATATTTAGAAGAGTAAAACAAAATCAAGAGAAATTCATGTTAATATTCTAGTCAGCCCAATATATCTAAAATATTATTTCAATATGAAGTAACTGTAAACAAATATTAATATACACACCGAATATTTTTTCATACTGTCTTTGGAATCTGAAGTTTATCTTACAATACAACTGAATTTAGCCTAGCCACAGTGCAAGTGCTCCACAGGTACACATGGCTGGTGTCTCCCACACAGGGAAGCACAAGTCTAGAGCAGAGGTTAGCAAACTAAGTCAAAAGGCCAAATCTGGCTTGCAGCCTAGTTTTATAAAGTAATATTAGAACACTGCCACATTCATTCACTTAAATAATATCTATGACTGCTTTCACGTCAGAACGGCAAAGTTCAGTTAACTTTGAAAAAGACACTATGATCTGTGAAGCCTAAAATAATCATTATCTGGTCCATTACAGAAAGGTTAGCTGATTGCCACTGTGGAGTCGGCATGCCAAAACGAGAGCTGCAGGATCCTTACGGATGTGCTTGATCCATTATGGGTTAAACTGCTGCTTTATCCCCCTTCCTTTCACTCCTAAAAATGGCCATTAACAACTCCAAATATGTGTCATCAAGTCTTACCAGAAAGATGATCTGGCCCAGGTCACCCATGGGACGAAGGTGCATAGTGTCATATGTATCACATCGATAGGGTATGATCACCTGGGACCCCATACGTCCTAAAAAAGGTTGGAATGAAACAAGGATCAGCATCAACCTAACAGTGATTTTGTAAATATTTGAACTCCAATGTTACATATGAGTTAAAGCTTACGTTGCCATACTAAAGATGCCATAACTTCTCAGAGTCCTTGACTCTCATCCTGCGGTCCTACTGAGGTGTTCTCTTACTGCCAAGGCTGATAAAAACCCTACGTACCTAAGATAGCAGTAGCTTGTACTACTGTTAAAACAAAGACAGGAGGCTCTCAGCTCCCATGGGCGAGCCTAGTTAAGCACCTACTCAACTCAAGGAACTTGACTTACTAAGATGGTTGGCAACTTACTGACTTATCAAGATGGTTGACAAAGTATTGGCTTACCAAGATGGTTGACAACATATTGACTTGATTTACCAAGATGGTTGGACAACGTATTGACTTAGCAAGATGGCTGACAATGTATTGACTTACCAAGATGGCTGACAACCAAGAGAGTTGACAATGTATTGACTTAGCAAGATGGGTGACAACATATTAACTTACCAAGATGGTTGACAACATATCGGCCCAGGAATCCTGTTGCTCCAAACACAGTGGCCACAACCCCACTGACAGAAGAACGCCCACCTTTCCCATGTGGTATGACGGCAGGATGAAGTTGGCGATGCGGTGGGCCATGAAATGCAGATGTGGCTGCAGCAATAATAGCTGGACCTTAAGCAAAATCCAGAACAAACAAAAATAGCACATATTAGCATAAAAGTAACTATGAATACCAACAGTTTCTTTCCCTAGAAATGTGCAACATTCAAAAAACTATTCACAAAACTATGAGTAGTGCCTTAGTGACCAAGTACCAGAGATAGCAAACACAAATTATTGCAACATAAAGTCTGTAAGATATGAATACATAAAATTAGAAAGTAAATGCCATGTCCTATGGATATCAAACATTAAGTCACATTGTCATGAGAAAGGATTTCTGGGTAAAGTGTTTTGAGAAAGGTCTTTTTCTTTAGAAGAAGTATTTCATTACAGCTTTAACATATTCAGTAACATACTTCAGAGCAAGGATACATCTCTTACAAAAGTGGCTGTAAATTTTTAGGTTCACAGTTGAATTAATACAGTTATACAATACTGAACTCAGTATAAACCCTGTAAGACATAAAATTGAATGAGTTTTTACCCTTTAAAGAAGATCTCCATTTCATTTTAAAATATGCTGTTTCCCACATTTTTAATGCTACTAACAGATGTTTGCACATGTGTCTTTAATCTCTATGTATCTGATGATTACTAGTCACAGTCAGTTACACTCAGATCCTTAATAGCTGAGTATGGCTATAAAGTCATCAGGTAGATTTCACTGGTAATGTTTATCACCTCTACTATTTAACATGAAGTAAATTTTTATGTTTCCTCCTCAAATATGTCTTTTTTAAAAAATTGTTGATTTTTTTTGTGTGTATATCATACAGGACATCCCACACAATCTTATTCATCTATATACCCACTTCCCAAATGGCACTCTCCCACAGCTTCCCCCCTCCCACACATTAGAGCCCATATACTCTGTCGTCCCTATTACTGTCCACTGTGTTGTCGACACCCCCAGCCGTTCTCCAGTGCTTGTCTATCTGTTGAATCTAGTCAGCCTATCTAGAGAGTCTTGTTTTAGGAAGATCAGCTCTTCCTCATCTAGCAGCAATCAGTTGTAAATATTCCTTTAGATAAGAATGGAGTCTTAGGAAGGTTTTTAAGAGGAATAACAAAGACTAGAATTCCTTGAGAAATACATTGGCACACACAACAATGTAGAACAGAAGTAAGAATGGACAACTGGAGCAGGGTGATGGTAAAAAGCCCATCTGGAAGAGGCCGCAACTGCCGCCTAGTGAAAAGAAAAACTGGCACTGTGCCCTGGAGGCAGAGGACTACTGGCACAGGGCATCTCAAAAAGAAAAAAAAAATAAGGCTGGAGAGATGGCTGAGTTGGTAGAGCTTGCTGTGGAGGCGGGAAGAACCTGGGTTTACATGCTTGGCATGCATGGAAGGAAAAAAAAACAGTGTCGTAGTCTGCTTTTCTGTTGCTGTGACAAACACTACGACTAAAAGTCAACTTAGGGAGGAAAGGGTTTATTTCATCTTACACTTCAGAGTCCATCACTGAGGGAAGCCAACACAGGAGCTCAAGGCAGGAACTTGAAGCAGAAATCACAGGCAAATACTGCTTTCTGGCTTGCTCAGCTACCAGTCTTAACTAGTCCGGGGCCTAGGAAGGGCACTACCCAGAGTGAGCTAGGCCCTTCTCCATCAATTAGCAATCAAGAAAATGCCCCACAGACATGCCAACAGGCCAATCTGATGGAGGAAATTCCTCAATTGGGGTTCTCTTTTCCCGAGTGACTCTAGGTTTGTGTCAAGTTGAGAGCTGAAGCTAACGAGGACAGCTGAGCATGGTGGAAAACCCCAGAATCACAGGGCTGGAGAGGCAGAGACAGGGTGGATCCCCAGAGCTCACTGGCCAGCCAATCTAGCCAAGACAGAAAGGTCAAGGTTCAGTGAGAGATCCTGTCTCAAACAGAAGATGGAGAACCACCGAGGAAGACATCTGACATTGTTCTCTGGCCCCCACATGCATGTACACAGACATTCTCATGTACCCACATGCATGTGTGCACACACACAAATATGCACACCTATATTCCACCCTACTCAAACCTACTCAAAATAAAGCAAAAGATAAAGAGTACAGTTTGAAGGTGAAAACCACTGAAAACATAAAAAATGATTTTAAAAAAGTGTACAACGTTGGAGAAAATGTTTTCTGATTTTTAGGAAGGTTAATACAAAATAATGTGTCAAATCGCCCACCATCTTTTTCATGGGCTCAGTGTCTAGGACTTTCTTTACAGTATGTGTGAAAACTGAGCTGACACCTGCTACAGCAAGGAAATAACGGCTTCCTCCTCTAGCAGCCCTTTCTGATCTGAGCCACTCTAAGTTAGAAGAATCTTGTTCAAGGGGAATCAGTTCTCCCCAGTTTCCACCCATATCTTATCCCAAAGTAACATCAGAAAAGTCTAATTCTTTTCTGCATCGCCGTGCAGCACGTCTCCCCTGCTACACTCTCTTATGCAGGATGAGCATATACAGTTCTATCAGCTACACGTCTGTGGTAGAAACAGGCATCGCCTGTGGGCACGCTCTGATCTTCTAGCCCCTTCCCACTTAGAATAGTTTTAGAGCAAGGTGCCCAATTTTCACCTAAGTACAAACAACAAAATGATTTAAAGGGAAGGAATTTCTGTTCTATTCAACAAATTTTGGAGCTTAGCATTGGTGTGCTTAGAAAACATGGAAACAAATGGGATTTTTTTTTCCACTTTTTTAAAGAAAATCTGTGTTTTCTTCCCAGGGGCACTCTGCCCAGTCATCACACTATGCAATCAAAAAGTATGGCATTAAGGAGAGCAGAAGAGATGGCTCAGCAGTTAAGAGCACTGGCTGCTTTTGCTGAGGACCTGAGTTCAGTTCCCAGCACCCACATGGCGTCTTCTGTAACTCCAGTTACAGGATCCAACGCCCTCTTCTGGCCTCTGCAGGCACTGCATGCTTCAGCTGAGATTACAGGTGTGAGCCACCCTGTTGCCCTGTTTTAAATTCTTATTGTAAGCATTCCTTCTGGCTCATTTCCCAGTCAATAAGCAAAGACTGGGGTACAGGGATATCTGACCCCCTAACCATAACTGTTGAACTCTCCCTTTCTGCCCTGGCTGTCTTGAGCAAAAGGACTATCAATTAAACAGCTGGACTGCCCTCACTGCAGCACCAAAGATTCTGAATGCTCCCCAGAAGCCTTGGAAAGCTACACAATGATCACAGAGGACTGTCCTGCCCAGCCTCAGCCAGGGCTACTCGAAACAGTTTGTGCCAGACTTTTTGCTGTCACGAGCCTCAATGAATTCTAGATGACCCTGCAACTTCTCCTAGGCCAGAGTGGGAGAACTGTTGGGACTGGTATTAAAGACATGGCTGTGACTGGTCCACACATCCCTTCTCAGTCTACAAAGCACACTGCTCAGGCTCAGTGAGCGGTGGGAGGCTCTCTCCTGTGCTGCCCTGCTTCTGTCCTACCATCCCAGACCTAACAGTCATTTCACTAACTTGGGAATACTACCTGACTCCTTTTTTTTTTTTTTTTAACTTTCTAGACTGTGATTTTACCTCTAGAAGTTCAATTCGATGTTTGACATTTTCTGTGGGGCACAGGTGAAGGCACACTGGGGCTGCAGAAGAGTAATAGAAAATTGATGGAAAACCTCTTGGTGCCTAGGAATGAGAGAGGTTCAATGTCAAGGCCTGGATCCCCAGGGCCTGACTGCATTCTTACCACTATGTCTCTGCCTGGGTAAAACCTCAACCTCTCTGACCTTCCAGGTCCCATCAACCCTAAAGAGATAGGCAGGGGAGCTGGAGAGATGGCTCAGTGGTTAAGAGCACTGGGTGCTCTTGCAAAGGACCTGGGTTCAGTTCCCAGCACCCACACAGCAGTGGCTAACCACCATCTGTAACTCTAGTTCCAGAGGATCTAGCGCCCTCTTCTGGCCTCCACTAGCACTGCATGCATGGCTGTACTTACATGCAGACAAAACACTCATACAGAAAATAAAAATAAATTTTTAAAAAAAGATATGCAAAGATGCTGCAATTCTTCACTGGTGTTTCAACCTTCCATCGCTTCCACAAACGACACTACAGTTTCCCTTTCCTCATTTTATATAATACTTAATAGTAGTCTTGCCACACTTAAGTGCTGCCTCACATAGTTCTGTCTACAATGTTTGGATTATATTAGATACTAAACTCGCCTCCCCAGAGTTTACCCCAAAGCTTACTTTAGTAGAGAAATTAAGGCAGAGAGGTTAACATCTGCCATATCTGCTAAAAATAAGTTCAAGGGGAAAATTAACTAATGAAAATGCCTAGAACTGTGGGAGCAGATAGAAGGTCCTCTATCATTCAGTCTTGAGTCCCCCAATGTCACGGTTTAAGAGCCAGCAAATGCTTTTGCAAAGCAGCAATGGCTACAAAAGCATCCATAACAATGATCACACCACCACCTTCTAAGTTAGGAATTCTAACCCCCCAGGACAATTAAAAGGACCAATGCTTGACCCTCAACTAGCTGAACAACAGAACTTCCTGTAGTAGCTGGTTTGTTCTTTTTGTTTTTGTTTTGCTTTTTCCCCTAAGACAGGGTCTCATGTGGCCCAAACATGCTTCATAGTCACCGGAACTTCATTCAGATCCTCCTATCTGTGGCCACCTCAGGAGCATTGGGATTACGGAATACAGGCCTCCATCACTAGGCCTGGTTTATGCAGTGCTGGGGATCAAACCGAGGACTTTGTGCAAGCTATGCACTCTACCAACTGAACTAGTCTCAGTTCCACCTGTGGTGCTTTTAAAAGCTTAAGGTACAGGGCTGACTTCAAAACTTCTGATTTGCTAGCTCTACAATTACAATCCTCTGTAAGTTTCCCCTCAGTGAGTCTGTTAGGAAGCAATTTTGAGAGCGAATGACAGTCTGAAATGACTAAAATACACCATGGAAAAATAAACTAGGGAGGTTAACTGGGCCCGTTTGTGGAATCCAGGAGAGAGCAAAAGAGTCTAACAACCTCTATTTTTTCAGTCACCTCTTAGTGGAAGAGCAAATTTATGTTTTCTACGTGAAGACTGAGAACAGATTCAATCACAACCAAAGGGAAAACAAACAAAGCTGGAAATTCCAAGCTATCCTCCGTTCTTTGCTGTTCTTTCCGCCCGGCCCCCCTCTCTCCAAAAACATCTCTCCTGCAAGCCCTAATGCCACGACCTAATGCATTCTCCACCAGGGGAGTCGCGGAGAACCGTTCTGGCTGAGACGGACACCAAGGCTCAGAAACGGAGACCGATTTCAGCTTTGCACAAGGTCATGAAGTCAACCGACGAAAAACCTTCTGCCCGCCTCCCTTTTCCTCTCTGACGCTCCAGGAAGAAATATTCCTCGTACCCCAAACCCTTCCAACCCTAGCCACGCTCTGTCTCGATCCTTCAAGGGTCCCCTCTTTTTCCCCTTCCCCAGCTCACATGTGAGCCGGGAGGGTGAAAAAGAACCTGGAAGCCGCTTGGAGGCGGCTGCGGCCGGCACGAGCTCCGGATCTGAGATTCCTGTGGCGGAATCCGGCCCCGGCCCGCTGTTCCCGATGACACTTACGTGACATTGGCAGGGCCCGGACAACCCGGGAGTGGACGGTGGCCACCATCTTCTCCCACAATGCCTCACGGCCAGCGCTTACGCCCACTACGGCTACGCCTGTGGGACAAATGGTATCTCCCGGCCCTCTCTGCACAGGCGCAGGGAAAGGCAGTGGGCGGGCCGCCAGAGGCCGTAGAGAGGAGCCTAGGGGATGGAGCTGGCTGGAGGAGAGGACGCAAAGGAGGGGAGGAAGGAAAGGGGAAATAATCCTAGGTCAGGAGCGGGCAGTGAAGATAATCTTAGGTCGCTGGGGAGCCTCAGGTTCAGAGTCGACCAGGCATGCAGCATGGCTAGCTTCAATGTTTCTGGCTCAGCAGGTTGTTCCCTGAAAGTGTCAGACAGCATCCCGGGTGAAGCTGGAGTCAGGGGAAGGCGTGGCCCGGGAAGATGCTGTTGCCCCGGAGGAGAAAGAATGGTCGGTGCTAAGTGAGGGTGCTGCACTAAGTGGACCAGTGGGTAAGAGAAGTCGAAATGCCGAGTGCCCCAGACGTGTAAGTGCACGCGGAGCCCGCCCAGCGCACGCTTTCCCGTGGGCCTTTACTCTAGCTGTTTCTGTTCTCCGAATACATAATCAGGTGTTCGCATCCATTTTAGTCTGCTCATAGGTGATCCTCTTCAGGGACTTCGCTGACCACCTGTCCAACGTGGTGGTCGTTCCAGGTGGCCAGAATATTTGTTTGGTTTTAGGTTTGCTCTGTTTGGCTTTGAGTTTTGTTTATTGAATCACCCGACCCCCCCCCCCATGCATCCTGGAGTCCCCTTGAAAATTTGACACAGCGTCTCCCTATGAAGCCCTAATTGACTTCGAACTTGTGATCCTTCCGGAGTACAAATATATAAAACTGAATGCCATGCTGCCCCATCAATTTTTTTTTAATGGAAAAGCTGCTGGTTTCTTTATGCAGAGCAATAGCTTGTTTTTGTCTTTTAAACTATGGACCCCACGGGGTGTAGTGGTTAGTGTCTTTAATCCCAGCACTGGGGAGGCAGAGGCAGGTGAATCTCTGAGATCAGGGCCAGCCTGGTCTATATAGTGAGTTCCAGGCGCTGGAGAAATGGCTCAGCACTTAAGAGCACTGGCTGCCCTTCCAGAGGACCCAGGTTCGATTCCCAGCACTCACATGGTGACTAACAACCAAATGTAACTCCAGTTCGAGGGGATCCAGTACCCTTTCTGACTTCCCTGGCTTTGCAAAAACACAGGTGCACTTACATGCAGGCAAAACACTCATACACATAAAATAAAAATAAATAATCAAAATTTTTAAAAAGATAAAAACTATGAACCCCCTTGAAAAATCTGCATTGTTCTAGAAATAGACATCTGGAGCCAAAAAATACCCCAAAAGAATTAAGCACTTGGATTTTAAAGTAGTTTATTTTGTAGGGCATGGTGGTGCATTCTTGTTATCACAGCACTTGGGAGTCTGAGGCAGGAGGATCCTGAGTTCCAGGTCAGCCTGGGTGACGTAATGAGACCCTGTCTCAAGTAAAAAAATAATTACTCTGGTCAGCCCTTTGATGTCTCTAAATACAAGGCAGCCAGTTGTAAACTCATGTTCCCAGAAGGAAACTGCAACTACCTTGAACATTCTATAAAGGCTGATTAATTGATTAGAATTTTAATGATTGTGGAAAGGCTGGAATATTTCAGGTCCAGAGCCAAATTATCTTGAGGCTCCTAGAGAGCCATTTACGGCCCATCTTTGTGTGTAACTGAACATCTTTGTCACTATCACATGAAATGTTTTGGAACAGACCACTAGTTTCCACTAACCCAGAAGCTAAGAATGTCATCAAATAGCATCTGAGGCATATTCCCCGTCTTAATCCATCTGTCTCATGTGTCCATCAATGTATTTGAATAGTGTATTTATGACTTTCTTTGTTCTGTTACTATAAAACCTTCATGAAATTGTTACCATGTTGGAACATGGAATTTGGGGTAACTCAGACTTGTGTTCCTGGACCATGGTCACTTACATTTGGCTCCAGAATAAACTTTTCTCTCTAACCTCCTTTGAGGTGATGGCTATGTTTTATATGTTGTCACAGTGATCCTGGGAAATATGCCTTAGGCTTATCAATAAACAGCTTAGTTTGAGGGGATCTTTCTAGACTTGATACTTTTTAAAAACTTATTTTATGTGTATACATATGTTGCCTGCTAAGTGCACCTGTGTCATGCAATGCCCACAGAGGTCAGAAGCGGCTTTTGGATCCCTTGGGACTGGAGTTACGGACAGTTGTTAGCTGCCGTGTGGGTGCTGGGATTCAAACCTGGTTCTTCTGCAAGAACCACCAGTGTTCTTAACCCCTGAGCCATCTCTCCAGCCCTAGACTTGGTACTTTTTTCAGTGCTTTCAGTTGTTTCTGGAAAGAGGGTGTGTTGCTAGACTAGGCAACAGGCTAGTAGTAAGCCACTGACTAGGTTTGCAATATCTGTTTCCTCTCTATGTGCCCCTGCTGTTTATCTATTTATGGCACTTGGGATTGAACCCAGGGCCTCATACGTGCAAGGCAAATCCACCAGTTCCCTTTTTACTTTGAGTCAGGGTCTCACTAAGTTGCCGAGGCTAATCTTGAACTCTTTGTAGCCCAGGCTGACCTTGAACTTCAATCCTCCTATCTCAGCCTCCCGAGTAGCTGAGATGCTGTGATTACGGGCCTGCCACCACCAGACCCAACTCACTCCTACTGTTTATGAAGTGTCATTTACCAAATTGAATTGGAAGACAAAAGAAACCCTTGGCTTTGAGCAGAGAAGCATTGTAATGCTGCATTGTCTTGTATGGCTTATCCTCCTGTGTGGTCTCAGCACTTGAAATTTGCTAATCCTGGGGCTGGAGAGATGGCTCAGCAGTTAGAAGCACTGACTGCTCTTGCAGAGGACCTGGGTTCGATTTCCCAGCACCCATGTGGCAGCTAACAACCATCTGTAACTCCAGTTCCAGGGGATCCAGTGCCTCCTTCTGACCTCCATGGGCATCACACAACATGGGTGTACACTTAACACACTTACATGCAATATACTCATAAATTTTTTTAAAAATTGTTTATCCTTGATTCTGGGATCAATGTGATATTAGCATGTTCATATAACAATATGAATATGGGTTCTTGTTGGGGAACCCTGCCGTTAAGGTTGGCTCCTTTCTCAGCAGGGGCTTCCTGCCTGACTTACCTGGAAAGTGCCACCAAGCACGGATACTTGGCCTCATTTAAAACATGACCTTTGGCATAGTTACCTGGAGTAAAAACTACCCCCAGGTTTTTTCTATATGATAATTAGGCATTTCCCCATAGTCGGATGATGGGATCCCCTGCCACATGTAAGTAAAGCATCCTGTGAGCACCTGTCAGCTGAAGCTTTGGCTACTGCCGCCACACTATATTTTCCCTAACCCCCACTGAATAAACAGAGCTATTTCACTGAGTCTGGAGCTGTTTGTATCACTGAACCTGCCTCCCTGGAAGGGCTTTCTTCCGTCAGTGCTCACTGGCTGTCCCTGACCCCATTAGTCACTTCTGCTCCCTTTATCCTCGTGGACCGGTGGCCAACGACCCACAAGGAAAGGGAGAGACCCCACAGATTCTGATAAATTGGTAGGCCCCACCCCCATCATCAGCAACCTCCTAACCTCAGTATAGCAGTTCTACCATGTAACATCTTTGAGTCAGACTCTGCCTCATGTTCTCAATTTTGGTGTCAAGGTGTCATCAGGTAGTTGAAAGAGTATGAACTTTAACACTCAGAATATTAGATCCCGTGACCTTGACCAGTTCTATACCTAACAGGGAAACTAATACCCAGGAGATTGCCTCAAAAGATTCTTGTGAGGATTAGATGACATAATGGATATAAAAGAACTTTTCAGCTGCAAAGGACCATCATCATCAGGCATTCATGTTTACATGCCGCTGAACACCCAAATGCAGACTGCCCAACTGGAAAGGCTCTTAAGAGACCCACAAGCGCATATTTTTAATACTAAAGATGAAAAAGACTGAAAATAAAAAAATGATAGTCAATAAATAACTTCTTTGAATGAAGTCAGTGGTAAACCAGCAACTTTTGAATCTGTTAAGGTTTTATTTTGCCACCTTGGTTGGAAATTCTTCCTTGCTTAGGCTTCTCTTTGTGCCAGGTGTAGTGGTTTGTACTGTCAGTGGAGACAAGGATAGGAACACAACTCCTTGTTACACTGTCACCAGCTTTGGCACAAAAAAGAATTTCAAGGTAAGTCAGTATGTTACCATCTGAAATTTTTTAATTTTTAAAATAATTTTATTGTTTATGACGGTTGTGCCTGCATGTGTGTAAAGGCACCCATGCTGAGCAATGCCCGAGGAGGACAGAAGAAGGTGTAGGATTCCCTGGAATTGGGAGTTATGGATGGTTGTTAGCTGCCATGTGGGTGCTGGGATTTGAACCCAGGTCTTCTGCAAGAACAACCAGTGCTCTTAATCTCTGAGCCATCTCTCCAGCCTCTGCCATCTGATTTTTTTGTTAATACTCTGCTGTATTAAATAGAATCCACTGGCAAAAAGTTCCCTTCCCACACTCCCCAACACGTAAATTCAGATACTCAAAGGAGAGAATTAACAGGAGAAAACAAGCCTAGGCCTTCCAAAATAAACACCAGAGCCATCGACTGTATTTCTAACCCCCCTCCTGACTTTTTGACCACTCAATCTCTGGTAGCCTCTCACGGTTGCTATAGAGACAGTGATGTCATCAGTTGCCATTCTTATGTCACTCCCTAATCCCAGCAAGGAGGAGGTGCACGGAAGGCTGGGGAAGGGAACAAGATCTTCAGCTGAGCAGGAACAGCCCAGCATCTTCATTAACTTTAAAAGTATATTCTGGAGTCTTCTGTGGTTCGCTCTTCCAGAGCTACAGAGGTAGGAAGGCCCACTGGGTTAGAAAAGCAGCTTTTTAGGCAGTACTGGGGATTCAAGCTCAGGCTTTCTCCTAGCTCGGCAATCGTTCTCACTCACTGAGCCATCTCCGCAGCCCCAGATGGCATTTCTGAGGAACATTTCAAGTCAGTCCTTCTGTAGTCACAGTCCTTCTATTGGCCATAAAAACATTTCAAAGCTCCAGGCTGTTAAACTGCAGAGCTAAAGTATCTAAAGAAATATTTCCATTAGTTCTAATATCCCCCTTCTGGACTTCAGTTTCCTAATCTGTAGAGTATTAATCGATTTAGAAGTAAATGGACCTTATATTTTATATATTGACTTTTTCCCCCCTTCTGTCGATTTAATAGATAACACAAAGCTATAACTCCAACATGTTATTACTAACTTTTTTTAATATTTACTTTTGTTTTATGTGTATGCGTAGATTGCCTGCGTGTAGGTAAGTGCACCCATGTCATGCAATGCCCGCAGAGGACAGAAGAGGCAGTTGGATCCCCTGGAACTGGAGTTACAGTTGTTAGCTGCCATGTGGGTACTGGGATTCGAACCTGGGTCTTCTGCAAGAACAGTCAGTGTTCTTAACCACTGAGCCATCTCTCCAGCCCCTATTACTAACTTTTTTACTTTGTTCATTTATTTGTTTATGACAAGGTCTCATGCTGTAATCCAGGATGGCCTAGAATTTAGCTATGTACCCCTGGTTGACCTTGAACTCGCGGTAATCCTGCTTCAGCCTCCTAAGTGCTTGGATTACAGGCATGAGCCACCACACCCGGTTCCAGCTTTCAACTTAGACATTTATTCATTAACTCCATTAAATTTGTAGTTCTTTTCTCTTCATTATGGGAATATATACATTGATTTCCAAGGCTTAAAAACTTCATGGCTCATGTCTGTAATTCCAAGACTTTGGGAGGCAGAAGAGGGCGGATAAGGCGTTCAAGGCCATCTTCAGGTACATAGTGAGTTTAAGAGCAACCTGAGCTACATGAGACTCTGTCTCAAATAATAAACCCCAAGCAAACTAAAAAGTTTTTACATGCCTAATGATATATACCATCACCCAAGTCAATTTCAGCAATTTTAACAGACCAAAACAAACTTCATGGTTGCAGACAAACACACAGAGGACATAGAAAATATATTAAAAACATTAGGACATGGAGAGTTAAGAGTTTGCTGGATATGCTTGACTAGTACGTATACTTCCTATGAAAGGAATACTGGGCATTGGGGATGTTCATTTCCTTGCAGTACTGGAACTGGAAGATCTGACAGTAGAACAAGCAGCAGCTCTTGGTGGTAAACTGACCTTACAAAGCATCGCACGTAAAAAGATTAAAACACATGGCTTATAGGACTGGAGAGCTGGCTCCGCAGTTCGAAGCACTGGCTACTCTTGCAGAGGACCCGGGTTTGATTCCCAGCACCCATATGGTGGCTAACAACAGTTCTAACTCCAGTTCCAGGGGATCCAATGCCCTCTTTGACCTCTGTGGGCATTGCATGACACATGCAGGCATACACTCATACACATAAAATTAAAATAATAGATTTTTTAAAAATATTTGGCTTACTACCATAACTCATTTGAGTAAGCCGCCTTTTTGTATTCCCAGGTTCTCCAATTTAAGAAAGAGAAAAATGAGCTGCCTGGAATTAGAAATGGGCACGATTTGTATATTCATTCTTTCAACAGATAATTACTAATCACCATCTTTAAAGGTATTAGCTAGTATGAGGTGTTCTCATGAACCACTGAATAAAGTAGATAGGATGTGTTTAATGTGCCTTTGATTTGTTTTTTGAGAAAGGATGCCTACTCCCATCACATCCAAAGTCCTTTAAAACAAGTATTTGTAAGTAACCAGATTTACTGCCCTTAATAAAGCTCCATGTATTTCAAACAGTTGTTTATGAAACTTGATTTCAGCTTAAGGCAAGCTATTGAATCTTATTATAATGGAATCTGAAACCAGTAGTTTGTTAGAATCAAAATGTAGAGTTCTAATTCTAGTTCATGAAGATTTTCAGGATACAACAAAGGAAAAATTGGGCATCTTATTTCATCTTACAGAGAGGCGCAGGTATGAGCTAAGTTTATAATGAATCGAGGGAGCTTTCAGTGCAGAGCCCTAGAGGTAGAGGTCGGCATGAGAAAAAAAACGAGGGCAAAGAACCTTCCTGTCACTTTAGGCTGGCAGCAGACTACCTGGTCATCGTGCTAGCCAGCAATGTATTCCAAGACTGCCAGGTAGGGTGCAGGGCTTTGAAGAGCAAATGAGACTAAAAGACAGAGAATGTGGATTAAAGACTATTATGATAAGCTGTGGTGCTCACTGTGACGAGAGGCAGTGAAACAGCGAGCCTAAGAAAAGTGGTTACTAATGGTGAGGGTAGAGTGCTTTATTTAGAAGATGCCAACTGAAATGAATCTCAGCTTTCCAACTCAGAAGACACAGTGGCTGCTGGTGCCACTGATGAAATTACAGAACAGGGCAAAGTACGAAGAGGGCTGTGAACGTTAGCTAAGTCATCACTGCAGCCTGGACCCTGAAGCCATGGAGATTGAGAATCACTCAGGATCCTTGGCTAATTGGAAAGAGGCCAGTCTTAAGGAAGATCTACTCATATAAATTAGTGCTCTGGAAACATTAAAAATAACGCTTCTGTTACTCAAAAATAAGCTCATGTGGACAGAACGGACAAGGTAGAAGTATAGTAATTCATTTGGACATGTTTAGTTTTGAGTGTCTACTGAAAAGCAGAGAGGCTTTTCAGTAGAGGGGAAGGTTGAAAAGCAAATGCACAAAGAACAGGACATGGCTGACCAAGTTCATTCATTTAACAAATAATGATTAAGCATGAACAGCGTATGCGCGGCACTAGCCGGTCGCTAGAGATAAGAGCATGTTTGAAATATTGCAGGAGAGATCTGGGACTGAAGATATGCACAGTTGAGCGGGGGCTGAATCAGCCCCATTGGGTCACGCTGTTCCTGCCTCCCACATCTCCACCGTTCACCTGTTCTCCTTCCTCTTGTGTTAACTGTCTTTTGATGACATTTCTCATTTTTTTCTATGTCCAGATGGCGGATAGGGTTGACTGGTTACAAAGCCAAAATGGAGTGTGCAAAGTTGATGTTTATTCACCTGGAGACAACCAACCCCAGGACTGGAAAATGGTAAGGGTCAGCGTCTTCAGCAGCAACAATTAGAGATGCTTGCATTGTCCTCGGAAGCAGCCTTATTCTCTCCACCATCACCCCCCTCTTACTTTTGAAGGTGGCATTAGTTGGGAAATAAAAAATGAGCTCCTGTAGAATAAAACTTTACCAATTTTCCCCAAGAAATCCGATAGTTTATGATACTAAAAAGTGTGTATTACAGTGAAAAAATGTCTAGTTTTTAAACAGCTACTGATCTCTGGTACTCACGTAATGGAAGGAGAGGACCCAGTCACACAAGTTGTCCTTTGACCCCCACACACAAATAAATAAACTTTTAAAACTTGAAATCAATGTCTCAAGGCACACAGGAAGTAATTTCTGAAGTTTAGGATATCTGAAAATTCTGCAAAGTCCCAGCCTTCCTCCCAATGACATTACCACTACACCTTTAATATCCAGTAGGCATTTATTAAATGTTTGGTCTGTATCAGGCACTGTCAGTCAGGGTCCAATAAGAAGATAAAATCCACACCAGTTATTTCATATTTAAAAATTGTTTCCTGAGAAAAGATAGCACAGTACTAAAAGATATAAGAGAAAGACTTGAGGGATTCCGGAAATAAATACAGGAAATAAGTTTTACTACAGGCTGAGAGAGAGTCAAAGAGCAGGAAACTAAAACAAGAGCTCCCTTTCCCTCCCTCAAGGTTGCGTCTGATCTGGTCTGGTCATAGAAGGTGTGGCTGCCACAGAATGCTATCCAGGGCACAGATGAATCAGGAGGCAGCTCTTTCCTCCCCTGTGACCATACAGTACCCCCTTCAGGGCCCTCTTTTAACAAAGGCCAAATAGAAATGTTTAAAGCATTCACAAAGCAAGATGAGTTTGGAGTAAGGCCATAAACGGACTTGTACAAACACCGGAGTTTTAGCATCAGAGACATAAAAATAAGTTAGACAGAATTTTCTCCTTTTAAAGAGCTTGGATCAGTGAGATGGTTCAGAGGGTAAAGGTGCTTTCCACCAAACTTGACAACCTGAATTCATGCCCCAGGATCCATGTGGTAGAAGGAAAGAACTGACTCCCACAGGTTGTCCTCTAACCTCCATATGTGAACACTGTGGCGTGCACAAGTGCGTGTACGTACACACACACACACACACAGTAAAAACTACAGATTACATAATCTAATATATTCATTGTTGTAATCCTTACCCATAATATTAACATTTGTCCAACACCTAATTGTATTAATTTTATGTGACCTGATCTTCTGTTTGTACCAAATTTATTTTATCAATAAGAGCCCCCCAAAAAAGAAATATGCACAAGACATTAAGAGAAACAGACAGCAAATTCAGACTGTTGGAGAAAAGACCACCCAAACTGCTTCAGCTAGACTTTTTGTCCAGTTCTGTCCTTTCAAGTAGAGAAACAAAATGCAGATCAGTTCCAATATTAAATTAAATGAACAAAAATCCTTTTGACTTTTCAGTAACTGAGAAGGACCCTAAGAGATCTGAAAAATAAAAATTTCTGTTCCTGTGAACCTTATTACTCATGTGAAAATATAAAATGTAATATAAAATTTAAATATAATTTAAAATTTAAGTATAATTTAATACCAGTCTGGTGTTTCAAGTTATATAAGTAACTGTTCGTTGTTAATAAAAGGCAGTTTATGATCATTGCCAAATTTTTTGAACCATTGTTCAAAAATGAATTATTGTTGTTTTTTGTATTTTTCAGTCATGGGCTCACTATGTAGCCCTGACTGGCCTGGAACTTACTATGTAGACCAGGTTGTTCTCAAATTCATAGAGATCTGCCTGCCTGTGCCTCTGGAATGTTTGGATCAAAGACATGTGCCACCATATCCAACTGAATAATAATCGGTATAGATGTTTAAAGAATGTATCACTTCGGAACTGTAGAGATAGCTTAGTGGTTAAGAGCACTGGCTGCTCTTGCAGAAGACCTGGGTTTGAATCCCAGCACCCACACGGCAGCTAACAACCACCTATAACTCCAGTTCCAGGGGATCTGATGCCTTCTTCTGTCCTCTGTGGGCCTTGCATGACACGGGTGCACTTACATGCAGACAATACACTCATACATTTTAAAAAAGAAAAAAAAAAGAACCTGGGAGTGGTGGCACACACCTTTAGTCCCAGCACTCGGGAGGCAGAGGCAGGCGGATCTCTGTGAGTTCAAGGCCAGCCTGGTCTACATAGTGAGTTCCCGGACAGCTGGGACTACAGGGAGACCCTGTCTCAAAAAGACCAAAGAAAAAAAAAAGAATGGACCATTTCAAACTGGGCATGGTGACACACACTATGAGTCCAGCACTCAAAGAGTTAGAGACAAGAGAATCAGTTCCAGGCCAGCCTGGGCTGCATAGCTGGGGGAAGAGCAGGGAGGGAATGAAGGATCATTTCAAAATGTGAGGTGGTCTGAGAAAATTGGATTAAGTATGTTTAATTGAGTTAGATATGGAGAGAAAAATGTATAGCTAGCTTAAACTAAGCTGCTGAAGCAGATGATGGAGCAGAGAAGATTAAACCCAGTAACCTTTTGTGTTGTCCTTTATGGACATGAAAATTTTTCCTGACCTCCAAAGGACTCGGGAATGGTTTGGCATCCTCATTCCACACCTGCTCAGGATTCTGCTGTGTACGAGGAGGTGGACTGCAGAAGGCAGCAGACTCGCTGATAGTGGAAATAGGAGTGCTTAGTCTTTCAGTCAGTCATTGTGGCTTGACCAACCACTGCTGGAAGTTTCTGGTGGATCCAGTGGAACAATGGATATGCAGGGGAGGGACACATTTTTTTTTTTTTTTTGGTCTTTTTGAGACAGGGTCTCCCTGTAGCCCAAGCTGTCCTGAAACTCACTATGTAGACCAGGCTGGCCTTGAAATCACAGAGATCTGCCTGCCTTTGCCTCCCAAGTGCTGGGACTACAGGCATGCGCCACCACACCTGGAGGGACACATTTTTTGAGATTTAAAACAAGAATCAGACAATAAAACTTATAAAAGCAGGAAGCTCGTACAACTTTGGACACACTCTTATAAACCTCTGTGCTGTGCTGTAGGCCTGTTGTTTCACGAGCTATGAAGAGCTGAGAACAAAGTGATAAGCCAGCGTCTACTTTGTAGTTATGCTTTGGTATTCATAGGACAGTCCAGTTATGGAAAAGTGCTTTTACATAGGTTCATATGCTTTTCTCTAAACAACAAGTAACATTAAAAGACAACTTTCAAAGGAGGGTAGACTCTGCACTCCCATACAGATACAAAAATGAATAAATATATGATTTTATTTAATGTAGTGATGAAATTGGAGAGGCATTACCACCTGTTCAAAGCAGAATTTCAAAAGATGCTTCTAAGTCTGACATGGTGGCACATGTAGCCCAGGCTCACCTCAAACTTGCAACCCTCCTGTTTCTGCCTCCCCAAGGCTGGGATTATAGATGTGAGCCACCACACTCAGCAGAAGATCTGTAAGTGATTCATCCATCAGATCTGTAAGCGATTAATCCATCAGATCACCAAATGGTCAGGCAATAAGCCAGATTTGCAGTCTCTGATGCCAGCAATGGCTGTTCACCAATAGACCAAAACCAAAATTAATAGGGAAGAAAATTAAAGATGGGAAACAGGGCACCTGCTCAGTGCTTTTGCTCTCAGGGGCTCAAGAAAAAAGACATTGGTACACCTCCTTTAGGATGACACATTGCCAGTGAATCAGTCTGTCAGGCATCTTGGTAGACTTCCAAACCTGTCAAAAGGTAACTTTCAGAGAGGGATAGCACAGTGACTCATGTATATGAAAAATGAGCATGTGGGCTGGAGAGATGGCTCAGCGGTTAAGAACACTGACTGTTCTTACAGAAGACCTGGGTTCAAATCCCAGCACCCACATGGCAGCTAACAACTCCAGTTCCAGGGGATCCAACAGCCTCTTTTGTCCTCGCGGGCATTGCACAACACGGGTGCACTTACATGCGGGCAGTACACGCATACACATAAAATAAAAATAATAAAATATTAAAAAGAAGAAAAAAATGAGTACATTGAAGACTTCAACTCGTTAGTAAGGAACTGGTAAGGTTCAAAACTCATACAGATCAGAAATGTGCGCGTGGGAGGCAGAGCTCTCATTTATGTAGTTTACAGAGTTGTAAAAAGCTCCAAGAAAATAAGGATCAGATGCTGTAGCAAGGTGTGTTATGAGGATGTGTGAGGTTCTTTGTTTTCTGTTTTTTGGGGCTTTTTGTTTTTTTGAGACAGGGTCTCATGCAACCAAGTGGTCTAAAACTTGTCATGTGACTGGGGACAACCTTGAACTTTTGATCCTTCTGCCTCTAGCTTCCCAGTGCTGGGATTAAGGGTGTGCTCCACCATGCCTAGTTTTATGAGGTACTTGGGAATCAAACCCAGGGCTTTGTCCCTGTTAGGCAAGCACTCTACCAACTGAGCACAGCCCATTGTGTAGTTTTACACTCAAGTACAACATTAAAGATGTGTACTGCCATGTCTGGTTTTATAAGGTACTTGGGAATCAAACCCAGGGCGTTGTGCATTTTAGGCAAGCACTTTACTAACTGAGCTAATTCCCTGGGCCAATGTATAGTTTTACATTGAGATACAACATTTTCCTTATAATAGCTATTATTTAAATTGGGAGAATAATTTGAGAGGGTTTTTAAACTAAGCACCAGTCATTTAAACCCAGCATAGTAACAAGAAGCTTCGACTAGCTTAGCAAAAGGATAGCAAAACTGCTTCTTTCTAAGTCATTAGTACACAGGAGTGGAGAGGAATGGTTTTAGAGGCAGAACTGGATTGAATATGATTCCCCACCATGCACCATCTGTGGAGTGTAGTCAAATTATCCACCTTGTCTAAGCCACTGTTTTATCAGTGAAACGAGGAGGAGTATCTACTTTGTAGGGAGACTGAATATTTGATGAAACAGTGTAGGCAAAGGATTTAGCAGAGCACCTGGCAAACTACTGCTGTCAGGGCTGGAGAAATGGTTCTGCAGCTGAGTGCTTGCTGCTCTTGCAAAGGACCCAAGTTCAGGTCTCAGTACCCACATTGGGTGGCTCACAACTGCCTGTAACTCCAACTCCAGGGGATCCGACACCCTCTTCTGGACTCCCCAGACATCTGCACATACAGGCAACCCCCCCCCACACACACACAATAAGTCTTTTTAAAACATTGCTGCTATGGAACAAATAGTAGCTAGTAACTCTGACTTTCCTAATAAACTAATAATTTGATGACATACTAGCAATTTGGTAATAAAAACCCCAACTAAGGCCAGGTGTGGTGGTGCACGCCTTTAATCCCAGCACTCAAGAGGCAGAGGCAGGTGGATCTCTATGAGTTCAAGGCCAGTCTGGTCTACATAGTTCCAGGACAGCTGGGGCTACAAGGAGACCCTGTCTCAAAAAGACCAAAACAAAACAAAACAAAAAAACTATTTTTTTTTAATGGGCAATATTTGTGATCATTACTAGATTGACAGGTGAGCTACAAGAATCATTTACATGTGATGATAAAGAGGACACTGCCACATACATGGTCTTATTCTATGTTCAAGTTATTGCCACATATAGATTAAATAGATATATAAATATATACAAATGCAAATCACAGCTAATGTCCATCAAAGAGTTTGTAACTACACAAAACTAATTGTCCACAGTTATTAACAACCTAATAAGAAATCAGATTGATATCAGCTAGTTGATGGGAAGCCACTTAGCATGTCCAGATTTTGTCTGAGTAGCTTGTCAAAATGATTAATTATGCACAGCTTTCCTTGAATTTTCTCATGTTATAAAAACTATACTTATAATAAAAGACCTAAATACAAAACAGGTGGTTCTCAGAAAACAGTTCAAATGTTAACTCTTCTATGGGGCTGATGACTATTAGATCATAAGGATGGATGCTTCATAAGGATGTTCAGATCAATATAATATAGCAAGCACATGGGCTCTGGAGTTGGACTGCCTAGGTTGGAGCTTTGCTTCATCAGTGATTAACTTCATATTTTTTAAAATTTATTATTTTTATTTTATGTGTATGAGTGTACTGCCTACATGTATGTGAGTGCCCCTGTGTCATGCAGCGCTGCAGAGGTCAGAAGAGGGCTTCGGATTCTCCTGGAACTGGAGTTAAGGATGGTTCATAGCTGCCATGTGGGTGCTGGGAATCAAACCTGGGTCCTCTGCAAGAGCAGTCAGTACTCTTAACCGCTGAGCCATCTCTCCAGCCCCAACATATTTTTAAATGAATAACTAACAATCCTTCTTTAATGAGGAAATAAGAAAACTAACATGGGGCTAGAAAGATGGCTCAGTGGTTAAAGAACACTGGCTGTTCTTGCAGAAGACCCAGGTTCAAATCTAGAACCCACATGCCAGCTAACAACTGTCCATAACTCCAGTTCCAGGGGATCCAACAGCCTTTTCTGTCCACTGCGGGCATTGCATGACACAGTTGCACTTACCTACATGCAAGCAATATATGCATACACATAAAGGAAATAAAAATAATAAAATATTTTTAAAAAGAAAACATTTAGATTTATTTTAAGAATAATTGAAATGTGATGGTAGCCTTAAAATCCTTAAAACTATATGTGTGGCTATAGATACAGATATAGATGGATATATAGTAAGTACTGATATATAGTAAGTACTCAATGAATGTGTGGGTTCCATTTATGGCTATGCTGGAGCCAGCTTGGGAGGGGTGATGATTTTTGTAACTGGCCTTTGAGGTTGTCTTGAACATACCATATCTTTACTGTGTTAGTCAAATGAAACCTTATCTCTTCTTGTCTCTTTTTCAGGATGCATCAACAGATCCTGTCCGAGTGCTCAGCTGGCTCCGCAGAGACCTGGAGCAAAGCACAGCCAGGTTCCGGGACTCAAGGTTCAAACCCGGAGAGACATCATTTGGGGAGGAAGTGGCCGTCCCGGGTGACCAATGCAAAGGTTTCGGTGTCGAGTATTACACCACCACCAACAAGGGCAGTCCAGGGAGACTGCATTTTGAGGTGACTCATGAGGAGAATCCTTCCCAGGGCCCTGGCACCCAAGTTTGTAATGGAAATTCTGTAGATGAAGTTTCCTTCTATGCCAACCGCCTCACAAACCTAGTCATAGCCATGGCCCGAAAGGAGATCAATGAGAAGATCCATGGCTTGGAAAACAAATGTGTCCATCAGTCATTCTATATGGGAGATGAGCCCACACCCCACAAAAGCCTGAGTACAGTAGCCTCGGAGCTGGTGGATGAGACTGTCTCTGCATGTTCCAACAACATGGCCAGCGACAAAGCTCCAGGCTCTGGAGACAGAGACCTGGGGTCCACACAGAGCCCCAGTTTGAGATACAAAAGCACTTTGAAGATCAAGGAGAGCACCAAGGATGGCAAGTGTCCCGATGACAAGCCTGGTTCCAAGAAGTCCTTCTTCTATAAGGAAGTATTTGAATCTCGGAATACAGGAGATGCCAGGGAAGGTGGAAGGCCCTTAGCTGGAGACAGAAAGCTGTTCAGGTGCCAGGACAGGACTGATGACTTTACAAACTCTGTCAGTCAAGGGATCATGACCTATGCCAATAGTGTGGTGTCTGACATGATGGTCTCCATCATGAAGACGTTGAGGATCCAGTTGAAAGACACGACCATTATCACTATGCTGCTGAAGAAGGTGCTGATCAAGCATGCAAAAGAGATCGTGTCCGATCTTATCGACTCCGTCATGAAGAACCTCCACAATGTCACAGGGAGCCTCATGACTGACTCAAACTTTGTCTCAGCTGTGAAACGAAGTCTCTTCTCTCACGGAAGCCAGAATGCCACAGATATCATGGACGCCATGCTGGGTAAGCTCTACAACGTGATGATTGCCAAGAAATTTCCTGATACCCTCACAAAAGCCAGGGACAAGTCTGAGAGTTATTCCCTCATCTCCATGAAAACAAGGGGTGACTCTAAGTACCCCAATGGGAAGTTTGCAATGAAATCTGAAGAAAAACTGAGAGAAAATTTGTTTTCTGCATGCAAACCAGAGAAAGAGAAGACTTGCGCTGAAACTCTGGGTGAACACATAATTAAGGAGGGACTGACCATGTGGCACAAAACTCAGAAAGATTGTAAGTCCCCAGGTTTCGAGCATGCTTCATTTGGAGCTTCTAACAAACAGTGCAACCCTCCTCCAGACGTTTCCTCTAAGTGTCCGGATCCTTGTGACTTCACCCCCCTTCCACAGCAACCAGAAAATTTTGAAAATTTTATGTGTGATTCAGACTCCTGGGCCAAGGACCTGATTGTATCTGCCCTGCTTCTGATTCAGTACCACCTGGCCCAAGGAAGCAGAATGGATGCCCAGAGCTTCCTTGAAGCTGCTGCCAGCACCAGCTTCCCTACCACCAAGCCTCCTGTGGTTCATGATGAGTCCAGACTTAAGTCTCCTCATAAGATATGCAACCAAGAACAATCAGAAAAGAAAGATCTAATAAGTGTTATCTTCAATTTTATCCGGAATTTACTTAGTGAGACCATATTCAAGAGTAGCCCTAACCTCGAACCCAAGGCACCAGAACAGCAAGTTAAGGAAGAAGATATTAACCGCTATGAAAGGCCTATGACCCCTTCCCCTAAATTCTGTGACAAAGAGGAGGCTGGTGGTACCTTATCTGGACTAACCAAGATTGTCGCCAACCAGCTAGATGGTTCCATGAATGGACAGATGGTGGAACACCTGATGGATTCTGTGATGAAGTTGTGCCTCATTATTGCCAAGTCCTGTGACACTCCCTTAGCAGAGCTGGGGAATAAAAAGTGTGGGGATGCCAACAGGCCAAATTCTGCTTTCCCAGATAATTTATATGAGTGCTTACCAGTCAAGGGCACAGGGACAGCCGAGGCTCTCCTGCAGAATGCCTACCAAGCCATCCATAATGAACTGAGAGGTCTGTCAGGACAGCTGCCCGAAGGATGTGAAATACCCAAGGTGATTGTCAGCAACCACAATCTGGCTGACACCGTTCAGAACAAGCAGCTCCAAGCTGTCCTGCAGTGGGTAGCCGCCTCAGAGCTCAATGTCCCTATTTTGTACTTTGCTGGCGATGACGAAGGGATCCAGGAGAAGGTAAGGAAGACCAGAAAGCTTTCTGAGGGTTAACTTGGGTTTTACAGTCTGTCTGTTTTCTAAATGGGAACACAGCCACAAGAAAAGAAGTGAGATAGAATTTAAAGATGATGCCTCTTGGCAGAGATAAAGGGAAGGGAAGGTTGGATCTTGACCCATCAGAAACACATCAGAGGGAAGCAGAAAGGATGGATGTTTTTCTGTTTCTGCATTTATTGATGGCAGTGCACAAATGAAGAGCCTCCAGGAAGACTTCATGTAGGAATTAGAGTAAGGTCTGGACTTTAGGCTGACTTTGTGTTTTCCTTTTTTCTTTATTTGTTGTGTGTACATGTATGTGTATGAGTGCACATGTGCATGTGGAGGCCAGAAGACAACATTGTTTCCCTCAATCACACTCCAGCTCTCTGAACTTGGATCTTACCAATTCAGCTAAACTGGCTGCCCAGTGAGCCCCAGGGATCCTCCTGCCCCAGGGATCCTCCTGTCGCTACTTCCCAGTGCTGGGATTATAGGCATGCCCTCCCTCACCCAGCTTTTTTATATGGGTTCTGGGGTATTAAACTCAGGTTCTCTTGTTTGTGTGGCAAGCACTTTACTGACTGAGCTATCTCCCCACCCTCTAGGCTGACTTTTGAATAGAGCAGAATTATTGAAAGCATGAACTTCTGATTCTGGAATGGTTGAAGAGGGAAACAGGGTTGGGATTTATGGACTTTTCTATTTTTATATTTATTTATTTTGCATATGATGTGTATATGCACACATGTGCACCAGTGAGTCACATCACACATATGGAGGTCAGAAAACAATTTGCGAGAATCACCTCTCTCCCTCCACATGTCGGTTCTGGGGATTGAACTCAAGTCATCTCCAACCACTGAGCCATCTCACAGCCTGATTTATGAACCTTTAAATCTGTCATGACTTTCTTAGACTGCCTTGTGGCATCTGTGATTTGGAGGGATTAAACAAATGATACTGTTATGGTCCAGGTTCTTGTACCTCTACAATAAATTGTACAGAGACACCTGGCTACTTTCGGGAAAGGAGATACTTTATTAAATACAGAAGAGCCAGCCTGGAGGTGTGCCAGATCTCCGCTTGTGATCTGGCTCCAAGGGGACAAGACGGGAGCCACAGCAGCTGTCTGTACCCCTTTGTGGGTTATTTACATGATACCTGCCTCTACCAAGTTTGCTTTTCGGGATATGTTCCTGTGGTTGAAATGAAGTCCAGATAAACTAAGGACTTCCAGACTTTTCCATGTTATCTCTTTTCATATGTTCACTTCTAGAATGCCCACCTCCCTATTTCCTGTTTTCCTGCCCTAGTTCCCCCAGTGAGAGTTGTGGTCTCAAAAATCTTTTAGAGTACAGAAGGATGAGGATCCATCTTCCATTGCTGCTTCTCTGCTGCTGATGGGTGTAGACCCTGCCTAAAAGGGACCACAAAACTCTCCCCCTGCTCTGTCCATGGGTTGAAGAGGAGGCTCCATATCAGGCTCTTGTCTTTTGGGGTCAGCTGCTGCTTGGTAGTTTTAGAGTGTTAGCAATTTTGGTTACAGTAATTGTTGGATTCTAGAAGATACAAGTTGTTATTAGGTTTAGGATACAAAGACCCAAAGCCTAAGCTGGAATCAAAAGTATGAGTCCTGAGCTACTGCTCTGTAGGTCCTTCTCTCCAGCTTTTAAGGAGGTCTCAGGCTGCAGGATATACAACCTTTGCATCCTTTAGACTGGGCATAACCTTGTTCACAGAATCCTGTAAGGTGTGTTGGACTTGCCCTAGGCTTATTATGTTGTCTGATTGGCCTCAGAGTCTAAGACCAGAAACAGCATGAGGAAGGGCCTTCCATGTAATAGCTCACAGGTGCTGAGGGTGATACTGGGTTTGGGAGCTTTTTTAAACTCTTGTGGGGGCATTTTTTGCCATTTTTCAGAATTGTGTGTATGTGTGTGTGTTCAACGGCTTGTTAGACCTGTTTAATAGTTTGGTTAAAAGTCCATTTGACTTTGCCTGGTGACTGTGACCGCCAAGCAGAATGTCTATAATATTTTATCCTTTAGGTCCTGGCTTACCTGTGATGCAAAGGATGGTCTGTTGGCACTCTCTAATGAGCAAGGGAGGCCAGACTTTGGGATTACTATCTTTAGGAGGATCTTTGCCACTTCAGTGGCCCTTCCAGTCCTAATGGAAAAAGCTTCCATTCAGCCAATGAAGGCATCTGCAAATACCAACAGACATTTGAAGTTGGCACAAGTGAGCACAGGAGAAAGGCCAATTTGCCTATCCTCCCCTGGATAAGTGCTTCTCCTCTAGTTCAAACAGTGGAGGAGGAAGACAACGACCAGCGTGTAGCCTGACATACATTTTTTTTCCCACTGTGGAGACTAGTCCTGCCCTGAGGACAGTCAAGTTACCATTTCTAGGGTGGTATATCTTTCAAAGTGGAATGTGTCATATATCCCCTTAATTGTTTTCCACTGGAGGACCTGGGGTAATAGTATTTTATTCCCCATATAGATTCGTGATTCACCTTATACACTTTGGTTTTATCTCATCCATCTTTTCCATCTTTGGGGAGATCTGTAAGGCTGTCTTTTTTTGTTTGTTTGTTTCTCTGCCAGTCTGTTTCCTTGGGCAGTATCAGGAATGTCCTTCTGGTGGCCTTTACTGTGGATGATTACCACTTGAGCCTTATGTTCTCCATTTAGAACCTAACTGCTCCCATAAGTAAATTTTATCTCCACTGGATTATCCAGAGGATGTCCACTTAAGTTGGCTCAGCTGGGGCACACGTGGAGCTTGAGTACTCAAGTGTGCCTGATGAAAAAAACTTTGCATGGTTGAAAGTGAGGCAAGATTTAGGGTGCCACAAGATTTGATAGTTACCTCTGGGTTGTCTAGGAGGGTTGTTTGATCTTTTGTCAGTCTACTTCCAGTTAACCAAAGATGACCTTTAATTTTAGTGTAGCCTTTCTGGGATGGGGTGTAGGGGCTTCTCATGGTTGCCTTCCCCTCCCCCTTCTAAATAGCTTAGAAGCTTCTTCAACCTGCAGTGCCATGGCCGCCACAGCTCTTAGGGGGCCATCCTAATGACCAGGCATCTAATTTCTTTTGAAAAATATGCTACAGGCCTCAGTTCTGTCCCTAGGCATTGGGTTAATGCCCCAAGGGCAAAACTTTGCTTTTTTAGCATCAAATAACAAGAAGGGCTTTTGAAAATTGGGCATGCCATGCTGGGGCTCCTAGGAGTGCCTACTATATCTGATTAATGCTGGGGCTCCTAGGAGTGCCTACTATATCTGATTAGTGCTGGGGCTCCTAGGAATGCCTACTATATCTGATTAAAGCTGGGGCTCCTAGGAGTGCCTGCTATATCTGATTAAAGCTGTGTTCCAGCTGACCATTCCTGTTAGGGGCTCAGAATCGTTCCTTTGATAGCTTTGTTAGTCCCAAATTAGGAATCCAGATTTGACAAAAATTCAGCCATCAGAAGGATCAAAGCTGTCTGTCTTTGGTGGAACTAGTTCAATTATGGCTCTAACTTGAGATGGGGAATTGTTATGTCCCCAGAGTCAAAATATATTATACTTCCTGGGGAATTATCTGGGCCTTTGAGGGGAAGAGACTTAGTAGCTTTGAGAGGCTAAGAAGTTTAAGATTCTGGTGGGGGGGGTTGTTTTTTTTTTTTAATGTATGAGTGTTATGCCTGCATGCGTGTAAGTGCACCCATGTCGTGCAGTGCCTGTGGAGGGCAGGAGAGGGTGTTGGATACCCTGGAACTACAGTTACCAATGATTGTTAGCTGCCATGTGAGTGCTGGGATTTGAACCTGGACCCTCTGCAAGAGCAACCCAGTGCTCTTAACCATTGAGCCATCTCTCCAACCCCTCTGATAGTATTTTTATCTGAGCTTTCCGTGGTAGGGCCAAAATATCTACATATTGTAGGATTGTTCCTGATAAAGCTAGGTTCTAAGATATTTTTCTAGTGCTTCAGGAAAAAGGTGTGGGCTGTGAACCCTCAAGGAAGGACTGTCCAAGTATACTGCTGCTGAATTTCAGTGACTGCGTCCTCCCATTCAAAAGTAAACATGCACCAAGAGTCAGGGTGCAAAGGAATGTGAAAAGGGGCATCTTTTAAGTCTCACCCTGTAAACCATTTTGTAGACTCAGGGACCAGAGACAGAAGAGTATGGGGATTAGCCACCAGAGGCTACAGTGGGATTATTACTTCATTGACAAGCCTAAGGTCCTGCACATTTGGAATCCTCCATTTGGCTTGACTGCCAGAGGGATTGGGGTGTTACTTAGGGACTGGCAAGTGACCAGTAAGTCATGCTTTAGAAAATTTTTAATGATAGGCCATAATCCTAGGTTAGCTCTCTCTAAATAGATACTGTTTTTTTTCACTGGAATAACTTGCACCAGGTTTTGATTGGGCAAGCTGTATTAGCTCTGCCAGGATCCTAATATCTCAAACAGTTGAGTCCACCTTTGTTAGAATACTATGTTTGAGGGGTTCTTTCTATCCCTACTATCTCTATAAATGGAAAGTTTCCGAAAATGAGGTGAGGACTGAGTAAACGGCCCCAGTATCTACATGTAGATTGTAACTTTCTCTCCTGTCATAACTAGGGTAACCTCAGGTTCTTCAGCCTGTTCCCCAGGCACCTTCAGTTCTGTAAGGTGGCCATGATGTTGGGAAATGGCCCCTTCCTACTCTGAGAATTGGGACTCCACCTTCCAGTGCCAGGCCCTTGGGTCCTTACATGTCAGACATGGCTTGCGGGTGGGGAGTGCAGTCCCTGTGGTCTGGACTTTTGTACTTGAAGCAGGTGTGGGATGATCTTCCTCCTGTTGTGGCAAGGAACTGAACTTTTGGGTCTCTTCATCATCTGTTTTCCATGGGCTGTGGGCCAGTTTCATTGGGATTCCCTCACCACATAGAGGCTGGATCCAGGCACTCTCAGGCAATCTGCTATGTTCTCAGCA